ACGCCTCCCTTCCGGGGTTTCCAGGGGATCATAGAACAGTCCCCCAGCCACCCTCCTGGGGTCTGGGGAACCTGGTGGCCCACATTTCACCCCCTACTGACGTATGTCCGCTAGTGCAGGTAGGTGCACCGTGTGTTCATGGCGTTACAGTGCCACAGGACATGCTCCGCAGGATTGGAAGGATGCCTGGTGGTCCCCTCTTTAAGGGGAGCGGTAGTGTACCGGTTAGCGCTACGCTGCGCTACGAACCTGGGGACCGGGTTCGATTCCCGCTCACGGCCAACACCAGTGACGATTATCTGAACCGGTCCAGGGCCTCCCTAGGTCTACTCGGCCTCAAATGAGTACCTGGTGCAGTGTGTAAATATGGCCACCCACCCCCTGTGTGCCGTGCCGGCCTTTATAGGTGCTCGCTTACAGCACTTTGTGAATAATGTGGTGTCTCTGTGTGTCTCTGTGCATATATCTCTGTGTGTCTCTGTGTGTCTCTGTGCGTATATCTTTGTGTGTGTGTCTCTCTGTGTCTCTGTGCGTATATCTTTGTGTGTGTCTCTGTGTGTCTGTGTGTCTCTGTGCGTATATCTTTGTGTGTATCTATGTGTCTCTGTGTGTCTCTGTGTGTCTCTGTGTGTCTCTGTGCGTATATCTTTGTGTGTGTATCTGTGTGTCTCTGTGTGTTCTGTGTGTCTCTGTGCGTATATCTTACTGTGTGTGTCTCTGTGTGTCTCTGTGCGTATATCTTATTGTGTGTATATAGTGTGTCTCTGTGTGTCTGTGTGTCTCTGTGTGTCTCTGTGTGTATCTATGTGTGTCTCTGTGTGTCTCTGTGTATATCTTTGTGTGTGTATGTATCTGTGTCTTGTGTGTCTCCGTGTGTCTCCGTGTGTCTCTGTGTGTCTCTGTGTGTCTCTGTGCGTATATATCGTGTGTCTCTGTGTGTCTCTGTGTGTTTCTGTGTGTGAATCTCTGTGTGTCTCTGTGTGTATATCTTTGTGTGTGTCTCTGTGTGTCTCTGTGTGTCTCTGTGCATATATATTGTGTGTCTCGTGTGTCTTGTGTCTCTGTGTGTGTATCTCGTGTGTCTCTGTGTATCTATGTGTGTCTCGTGTGTCTCTGTGTGTGTATCTGGTGTCTCTGTGTGTATATCTCTGTGTGTCTCTGTGTGTCTCTGTGCGTATATATTGTGTGTCTCTGTATGTATCTGTGTGTCTCTGTGTATCTCTGTGTTTGTCTCTGTGTGTCTGTCTCTCTGTAGGTGGTGGAGGAGGTGGCTAGGCGCGTTCTCGACGAGGTCCCGGTGCCGCTGGCTGAGCGCGAGCTCGTGGAGAAGTTCCCGTCCGCTACGACGAGTCCATGAACACGGTGCTGGTGCAGGAGGTGCTGCGGTGAGTCACAGCCACAGTCAAAGCTCCCCAGGTAGCCTCGAGCAGGCCTGGAGGGGGGGCAAGTGCCGTCAGTAGCACGCGGCACCTGTGAAGTAGACAAAGGCAAAGCTATTGGATCAAGGGCGCTGCGGTGGCTGGGAAATGTTAACTACCTCGCCTGGTATGCAGGAGGTCGTGAGTTCGATCCCGACCCTGACAATGCCTGCTGCTGTATTTGGAGTTTGTGTGTCTCCCATCATCATCACGGTGGCCAGGAGATGTTAACTGCCTCGCCTGGTATGCAGGAGGCCGTGGGTTCGATCCCGACCCTGACAATGCCTGCTACAGCATGCAGGACCCGTGTCTCCCGTGTCTCCCCACGTCTCATCCCCACATCTCCCCGTGTCTCATCCCACGTCTCCGGTCTCCCACATCTCCCGTGTCTCATCCCCACGTCTCCCCGCGTCTCCCCACATCTCCCGTGTCTCATCCCCACATCTCCCCGTGTCTCATCCCTGCGTCTCCCGTGTCTCATCCCCGCGTCTCCCGTGTCTCATCCCGCGTCTCCCGTGTCTCCCGCGTCCCCCCGTGTGTCTCCCGCGTCTCTGCCGTGCAGCTACAACCGTCTGCTGGAGGCTGTGCGCTGCAGCCTGCAGGCCCTGCTGCGTGCTCTGCAGGGCCTCGTGGTGATGTCCTCCGAGCTCGAGTTGAGGCTCACAGCCTGTACACCAACGCCGTGCCAGCACTGTGGCAGGCCAAGGTCAGTCACCACGGAGACACCACGGAGACACCGCGGAGACACGGAGACACAGAGAGACACAGAGAGACACAGAGACACCACGTGGACACGGAGACACCACGGAGACACGGAGTCACAGAGAGACACCACAGAGACACAGAGACACCACAGAGACACCACAGAGACACAGAGACACCACGGAGACACGCAGACACAGAGAGACACAGAGGACACACCGAGACACGGAGACACGGAGTCACAGAGAGCACACAGACACCACAGAGACACAGAGACACCATGGGGACACGGAGACACGGAGAGACACAGAGAGACACCATAGAGAGACACCACAGGTGGTGCAGGGTACGAGCTCGAGTTGATGGCTCACAGCCTCTACACCAACGCCATGCCAGCGCTGTGGCAGGCCAAGGTGAGTCCCCACGGAGACACACGGAGACAACACGGAGACACGGAGACACGGAGAGACACAGAGACATGGAGACACGGAGACAGAGAGACACACAGACACCACAGAGACACAGGAGACACCACGGAGACACCACGGAGACAGAGACACAGAGAGACCACAGAGAGACACAGAGAGACACAAAGACACCACGGAGACACAGAGACAGAGAGACACAGAGATACCACAGAGACAGAGAGACACACAGACACCACAGAGACACAGAGACACCACAGAGACACGGATAGACACAGAGAGACACAGAGATACTACAGAGACACGGAGACAGAGAGACACACAGAGACACAGAGACACCACAGAGACACAGAGACACCACAGAGACACGGAGAGACACAGAGAGACACAGAGACACTACAGAGACACGGAGACAGAGAGACACACAGACACCACAGAGACACAGAGACACCCAGAGACACGGAGAGACACAGAGACACACAGAGACACCACAGAGACACCAAAGAGACACAGAAGCACCACGTGGACACGGAGACACAGAGACACAGAGACACCACAGAGACACGGAGAGACACAGAGAGACAGAGACACTACAGAGACACGGAGACAGAGAGACACACAGAGACACAGAAACACCACGTGGACACGGAGACACCACGGAGACACAGAGACAGAGAGACACAGAGACACAGAGACACCACGGGGACACCACGGAGACACAGAGAGATAGGGACACGGAGAGACAGAGACACAGAGCACCATGGGGACACCACGGAGAGACAGAGACATGGGGACACGGAGACAGAGACCGGAGAGACACAGAGACAGAGAAATAGAGACACTACGGAGACCCCACGGAGACACAGAGACACGGAGACACCACGGGGAGACATGGGGATGTGAAGACACGCTGGTGATGGTGGTGATGGTGATGGCGGTGGTGCTGTTGGTGGTGGTGATACTGCTGGTGGTCATGATGATGGTGGTGACGGTGTTGGTGGTGGTGGCGGTGGTGCTGGTGGTGGTGGTGGTGATACTGCTGGTAGTCATGATGATGATGATGGTGGTGACGGTGATGGTGGTGATGGTGGTGGTGCTGGTGGTATGACGCTGGTGCGGTGGTGATGGTCGTAGTGATGGTAGTGGTGGTGGTAGTGGTGGTGGGTGCTGGTGGTGATGGTAGTGGTGCTGGTGGTGATGGTAGTGGTGATGGTGCTGGTGGTGGTGGGTGCTGGTGGTGGTGGTAGTGGTGCTAGTGGTGGTAGTGGTGCTAGTGGTGGTAGTGGTGCTGGTTCTAATGGTAGTAGGTGCTGGTGGTGGTGGTGCTGGTGGTGGTGGTGCTGGTGATGGTAGTGCTGCTGGTGGTGATGGGTGCTAGTGCTGCTGGTGGTGGTAGTGGTGCTGGTGGTGATAGTAGTCGTGCTGGTAGTGGTGATGGTAGTGGTGCTGGTGGTGGTGATGTTGGTATGACGCTCGTGCCGCTGCTGCCGCACTGCAGGCGTACCCCTCCCTGAAGCCGCTGGCTCCGTGGCTCTCCGAGTTGTCCCGCCGCGTCGACTTCGTGAGCCGCTGGGCGGCCTCCGACGGCCCCCGGCCTCCTTCTGGATCGGGGGCCTCTTCTTCCCGCAGGCCTTCCTGACGGGCACCTGCAGAACCACGCCCGCCGCACGGGCACCGCCATCGACGCGCTCTCCTTCACCTTCCAGGTGACTCCGTCTCTCTCTGTGGGTCTCTGTGGGTCTCTATAGGAGTCTCTATAGGAGTCTATGGGTCTCTGTGGGTCTCTGTGGGTCTCTATAGGAGTCTCTATAGGAGTCTATGGGTCTCTGTGGGTCTCTATGGGTGTCTGTGGGTGTCTGTTGGTCTCTGTGGGTCTCTGTGGGTCTCTATGGGTGTATGTGGGTATCTGTGTGTCTCTGTGGGTCTTTGTGAGTTCATATGGGTCTCTGTGGGTGTCTATGGGTCTCTGTGGGTGTCTATGAGTCTCTGTGGGTCTCTATGGGTCTTTATGGGTATCAATGGGTCTCTATGGGAGTCTATGGGTCTCTATGGGTCTCTATAGGAGTCTATGGGTCTCTGTGGGTCTCTGCCTTCCTGACGAGCACCCTGCAGAACCACGCCCGCCCCACCGGCACCGCCATCGACGCGCTCCTTCACCTTCCAGGTGACTCGTCTCTCTCTATGGGTCTCTGTGGCAGAGGTCGCAACGGGTACCCGATACCCGTACCCTACCCGAAACCGGCTACCCGTACCCGGCGGGTACGGGTACGGGTAGCCGTTTGTGACCCTGGTGCGGCCGGGTACGGGTACGGGTAAGGAATCAAAAACCGTTTGCGACCTCTGCTCTGTGGGTGTATATGGGTATCGTTTGTCTCTGTGGGTCTTTGTGGGTGTATATGGGTGTCTGTGTGTCTCTGGATCTTGTGGGTCTTTGTGAGTTCATATGGGTCTGTGGGTGTCTGTGGGTCTCTGTAGGTCTTTGTGGGTCTCTGTGGGTCTCTGGGTCTCTAGGGTGGTCTATGAGTCTCTGTGGGTCTCTATGGGTGTTGTGGGTCTCTATTGGTGTTTATACGTCTCTGTGGGTGTTTATGGGTCTCTATGCACCTTGATGAGTCTCTGTGGGTCTCTGTGTGTCTTTGGGTCTCTATGGGTGTTTATCGGGCTCTGTGGGTGTTTATGGGTCGCGGTGGGTCTCTATGGGTAATTATCAGTCTTCATTGATGTATATGGGTCTCTATGGGTTTCTATGGGTGTCTGTGGGTCTCTATGGGTGTCTGTGGGTCTCTATGGGTGTCTGTGGGTCTCTATGCGTGTCTGTGGGTCTCTATGGGTGTCTGTGGGTTTCTTTGAGTCTTCATGGGTCTCTGTGGGTCTCTTTGGGTGTATGTGGGTATCTTTGAGTCTCTATGGGTCTCTGTGGGTCTCTAGCCACCACAAATATCCAACAGGCATCCTCAGGGTCGGGATTGAACCTCACAACCTCCCGCGTTCCAGGCAAGGTAGTCAACATCTCATCATGGTTGGGATTGAGCCCACGACTCCTGCATACCCGTTGAGGTAGTTAACATCTAGTCAAGGGAATGAGAGAGAGAGAGGACAGGCAAACTCCAAATATACAACATGTTTCATCAGAGTCATGTTCAAACCCCACGACCTCCTGCATACCAGGTGAGGTAGTTTACATCTCATCAAGGTCAGGATCGAACCGCGACCTCCTGCACCAGGCAAGGTAGTTAACATCACGTCAGTGTCGGGATCGAACCCATTACCGCCCACGTACCAGGCGAGATAGTCAACATTTCATCAGTGTCGGGATCGAACGCCATGACCTGTCTACCAGGCGAGGTAATGAACATCTCGTCAGGGTCGATATTGAACACAACTCCCACGTACCGGGCGAGGTTGTTAACATCTCATCAGGGTTGGGATGGAACCACGACCTCCCGCGTACCAGGCGAGGTAGTGAACATCTCATTAGAGTCTTGATCAAACTCACGACCTCCGCATACCGGGCGAGGTAGTTAACATCTCACCAGAATCGGGATCGAACCCATGACCTCCGCATACCAGACGAGGTAGGGAACACCTCACCAGAATCGGGATCTAACCCATGACCTCCCGCGTACCAGATGAGGTAGTTAACATCTCATCAGGCTCGGGATCGAACCCACGATCTCCGCGTACTGGGTGAGGTAGTTAACATCTCACGAGAATCGGGATCGAACCCACGATCTCCCGCATACCAGACGAGGTAGTGAACATCTCACAAGAATCGGGATCGAACCCACGACCTCCCGCGTATCAGACGAGGTAGTTAACATCTCACCAGAATCGGGATCGAACCACGACCTCTTGCGTACTGGGCGAGGTAGTGAACATCTCCCGCTGCGCTCCCCCAGGTGATGCGCGATCCGGCCGAGGCCCTGGTGAGGCCTCCGCCCGACGGCTGCTACATCTGGGGCCTCTTCCTGGAGGGCGCCCGCTGGGACGCGCCCAGCGGCCTCCTAGCCGAGTCGCTGCCGCGGCAGCTCCACACCCCCATGGCCGTGCTGTGGCTCAGGCCTCGTGTCCAGCAGCAGCAGCAGCGGCAGCAGCAGCAGGAAGGGGAGCAGCAGGGAGGGCTCGGCGGCGATGGCGGCGATGGCGACACAGAAGCCGGAGTCTACTGCTGCCCGTCTACAAGACGTTGGCGCGAGCTGGTGAGTGGGGAGTACGGGGTGGTGGTGGTAATGGTTGTGATGGTGGTGATGGTGGTGGTGGTAATGGTTGTGATGGTGGTGATGGTGGTGGTGATGGTATTGGTGGTAATGGCGGTGATGGTGGTGGTGATTGTGGTGGTGATAGTAGTAGTGGTGGTGATGATGATGATGGTGGTGGTGGTGATGATGATGGTGGTGGCGGTGATTGTGGGTGGTGATAGTAGTGGTGGTGATGATGATGATGGTGATTGTGGTTGGTGATGGTGGTGATGATGATGGTGGTGATGGTGGTGATGATGATGATGGTGGTGGTGGTAATGGTTGTGATGGTGGTGATGGTGGTGATGGTGGTGGTGATGGTATTGGTGGTAATGGCGGTGATGGTGGTGGTGATTGTGGTGGTGATAGTAGTGGTGGTGGTGATGATGATGATGGTGGTGGTGGTGATGATGATGGTGGTGGCGGTGATTGTGGTGGTGGTGGCGGTGATGTTGGTGGTGGTAATGGTGTATTGGTGGTAATGGTGGTGATGGTGTAATGGTGGTGTGATTGTGGTGGTGATAGTAGTGGTGGTGATGATGATGATGGTGATTGTGGTGTTGGTGATGGTGATGGTGGTGATGATGATGGTGGTGGTGGTGATGATGATGGTGGTGGTGGATGATGATGGTGGTGGCGGTGATTGTGGTGGTGGTAATGGTGGTGATAGTAATGGTGGTTATGATGATGATGATGATGGTTCTAGTGGTGGTGATGGTCTAGTGAAGGTGGTGGTGATAATCGGCTTGCTGCCACCACAGCAGCCAAATGGGGGCTCTGGAGGGTGCAAGGGGCTGGTAATCCCTCCACCTTCATCCTAACTATCACTAATCCACGTGTTACAAATCTTTACAAACTTGTGCCGAAGGCCACGGGGGGACAGGCGTCTATCACGTCTCTGGCCAAACCCAATTTGGCGGAGCCAGGAAACTGAATCTTTACCCACGGGCTCCTCCAGAAACAACAAAAAGCCACTGTGGGTGGCCACGTGGAATGTTTGAACGCTCACTGCGGATGAGAGGCTGCCACTCCTCTGTAGGGAGCTGGACCGGTACCGCCTGGATTTCTGCGGTATTCAGGAGGTCCGTGAACTGGTTCTGGCTCCTGCCACCATGAGGGGTGGACAGTCCTCTACTCGGGGCAGGAGACTACCAAACAACAGGGAGTGGCTCTTCTTCTGAACAAAAGAATGAAGGGGGCACGGGAGCATGGTGGTGAGGTGTGGGAAGCTGTAAGCCCCAGGCTACTTTGGGCTCGCCTTCCCATCAACCGGAGGCGAGGAGTGGTGGTCGTGGTTACTTACGCCCCCACCAAAGATGAACATCAGTGGCGGGATGCAGGCAAGACCGATGAGTTGAATGCTTTCTATGACCTCCTGTCACATGTGCGAGCTAAAGTGGCCCCTCGGGATAGAGTCATCCAGTTGGGTGACTTTAATGCCCGAGTTGGTCATAATGTTGGCACCTGGTCTGGAGTGATTGGCAGGCATGAGCTAGATCAGCTCAATAAACAACGGTAGGAGGCTGCTAAACTTCTGTGCAGCCCTATGGGCGTGTTTACCAACATGCAGTTCCGGCATCGACGCGTCATCCACACATCATGGATGCATGCCGGGTCCAAGCAAGAACATCTACTAGACTATATAGTGATGGAACAGCGGATACTGGACCATGTAGTTGATTGTGTGAGGAGTTAACAATCTTGAAATATCTGGACGCAATCTTATCGGTGAGCTCCTCCGGCAGGCAAGGCTGCACTGGTTGGTAGCCAGCATGCCCGGCCACCGCATGCCCAAGCAGCTGTTTGGCCACATTGAGGGGGCTAAATGGGAAAGACATGGGCTGGAGATGAGATGATGAGTGAGTAGTGAGTGGGTGAGTTAGTGCACGGATGAGTTAGTGAGTGAGCGAGTTAGTACGTGGGTGAGTTAGTGAGTGGGTGAGTTAATTCGTGGGTGAGTTAGTGCGTGGGTGAGTTAGTGAGTGAGCGAGTGAGTGGTACGGGCTAGAGAGTAGATGAAGTGATGAGGACATGGAGCTGAGTGGACTTGCGATGACTGGTACCAGCGGGTCTGTCAAGGCCTCTGTGGAGGAGGCTCGTGAAGGACGCTGCGGACTGGGCAGTTGGAGGCAGTCGCCCTCCAGCAACAATGGAGAGGAGCGACAATACAACGAGTGGAGCTACCAGGCGGCTAGAACACAGAAAGTTGGCACAGTGGGGGGGGGGGGGGGGCACAGGTGGTGCATCTACTGGTCAACTCAGTCAGTCGACCCCATGGCACCTGTTGGGCCTATTCCGTGACCTGCCAGTGGGCGTTCGACACTTCATGTGGCCTCAAAGTGCACCAAGCCTGGCACAAGCGCCGAGGTGAATGTCAGCTGTTGCTGTTGTTGTTGATGGGGGGTGATGGTGATGATGATGATGACAGTGATGATGGTGATGATGATGGTGATGACGATGATGACGATAATGATGATGGTAATGATGATGACGATGGTGATGACGGTGGTGATGATGATAATGGTGATGATGATGGTGATGATGATGTTCACGATGGTGATGACAATGATGGTGATGATAATGATGGTGATGACGATGGTGATGACGATGATGATGACGATGGTGATGACAACGATGGTGATGACAATGATGGTGACGATGCTGATGACAATGATGACGATGATGGTGGACAGGAACGCTGTCCACCACCGGTCACTCCACCAACTTCGTGATGGCCGTTGACCTGCCGAGTGACCGCAAGCAGAGCCACTGGGTGAAGCGTGGAGCTGCCTTGCTGTGCGCCCTCGACTACTGAGCAGGTGATACAGTGGTACTTCAAGGCACTAGGGGCCGTCCATAAATGACGCCACGCACCTGGGGGGGGGGGACATTTGCGACGATGTGTGACGAGGGGGGGGGTCGGTTGAGAAATGTGACGTCACATCAAAATGCGCAACTTTAAATAAATATAGACAACACGTTCTACTTAATTAAATAGACTTTGTAATAAATGTTTTCTCCTACAACATCAGAGTGCAGCGCCACATTAAATACGCACTACAATGACAATAGTTTAAAGCGATTTGAAGAATGTTTTATTTTGGAGGGGGGGGGGGGGCAGAGCTTTGTGACGTCATATTTGAGGGGGTCTGACTTTTTGTGACGCCGTGACGTCATTTATGGACGGCCCCCTACTAGGTACTACAGTGGTACTACAGTTGTGATACAGTGGGGATACAGTGCTACTACAGTGGTGATACAGTGGTAATACAGTGGTGATACAGTGGTACTACAGTGGTAATACAAAGTGGTGGTACAGTAGTACTACAGTGGTAATACAGTGGTGGTACAGTGGTAGTAGTGGTGATACAGTGGTAATACAGTGGTACTACAGTGGTAATACAGTGGTGGTACAGTGGTGGTACAGTGGTAATACAGTGGTGGTACAGTGGTGATACAGTGGTGGTACAGTGGTGATACAGTGGTAATACAGTGGTAGTACAGTGGTGATACAGTGGTAATACAGTGGTAGTACAGTGGTGATACAGTGGTGATACAGTGTAATACAGTGGTAGTACAGTGGTGGTACAGTGGTGATACAGTGGTAATACAGTGGTAGTACAGTGGTGGTACAGTGGTGATACAGTGGTGATATAGTGGTACTACAGTG